GGAGCCTAGAGACAGTTCAGCTCTGCAGCAGTGGAGGGAGGAGGAGAAGGAGGCGGCGCTTGCTGCAAATTCCAGGTTCGCTCTGTGAGCTCATCACCCTCCTCCTCCAAGGAGGGAGGTGGCTGAGGCGACTGCTGCTGCTGCCTCTGCTGCTGCTGTGAGTGGGTGGGTGGTTTCCATCCTCAGCATCACCAAGCAGGAAAAAAAAATCCCAGCAGCTGCTGATGTTGGGCGCTGAAACAGCCTCCGTAGCAGGGAACATGGATGAAGCCTGCATACCTCTCGCTTTTCAGCATCTTCTGGTTTTGACATGGTAAGCAGCAGCAGCAGTGCCAGAAAGCCCTGGCTTTATTAATCGCAATGCTTGGAATTAGGGGATCATTATTCTCATGCTGATGATGTGGTGTATTTCTGATCTTGTTGCTCCAAGTATCTTCATTCGGCTCGGGAAACAATGACTTTCATTTGAGCTATTGGGGAGAGACAGAGAAAGGGAGTGGGGGAGGATGGAGAGAGAGAAAGATGGAGAGAGGAGGAGGGAGATGTGGGCTGATTAGGAAGTCTTGGCAGAAATGTTCTGGGAATTCATCTTTACTAACCTCATTCTCTGGACCATTTTCTTTTTCCTGGATTTGTCATCATTTTCCTTCACCTTCATAAAATGGGAAACATTGAAGGCAATTGCTAATTAGAAAGGACGATAATTTTCAAGGGCTTGGTTTGATCCCCTGGAACACCTGGGTTGGGCCTCAGTGAAATGGCACTGATGTAGTCAGTGCAGCCAAGCTAAGATGAGTTTAAAAGAAGCGTATCTGATTCATTTTGTTTGCAGCCTGGATTTGCCCATGTTGTTCTGCTGTGGCATTGCTTTCATGTTGAATGACTTTAAAAAGGATCCTGTTTGTAGCTTCTTTCCACATAAGGGGTGGGTATGTAAATACACACACCTCGAGCTGGGTCTCTTTGTACGTACAGCACATGTCTTGATCTCACTGCCATTAACTGACTAAACATCCCACTTGGGCTGATGTGTGATTTATTCTTTGGTTACTCAGTTATTGTCCCTTGGTTTTCATTATGGCCACTTAGGACAGATCTATATCATGCACTCGGTCTGCTTTATGGCACTAAATGCTAATTTGTAGCCTGTCTTCATTTGTTTCCATGAGTATAAATGTACGGAAAATACTCAACATACACCTTGTAGGCTGGGAAGATACAAACATATGTGTTTTCAATTTAATAGCTTTCAGAAAAAGGGCAAGCCATATTTTTGAAGCCTGTGGGTTTATACCGTACAGGTGTGCCATGCACCAATATATCATGAAGGGGCAGATCCTTACTAAGTGTCCTGAAGTGAGCCAAATTCTCTCTTGATGTACACATTATACATAAGTGTGAAATGTGGGAGGCAAGTCAATATGATATTGGCCATTTTTTTGTCCAGTAATGCTGTATTTGGTGCTTCAGTCCTGGCTACATCTCCACTGATAGCTGTTATTCCTCCAGTATACAAATGTCAGGCCATCACAGTTTGTGCTGAAGATGATGGCACCAGCTGTACAGCCAGTCATATTTTCATTTCTGTTTCTCTGGTGGAAATCTGTGGTAGTTCCATTGCCTTCCACAGGGCTGTTCCTACTGTAAGAGAAATCGGGTGTATAGTAGTGTCAGCAATAGGAGGACAAAGTCATGCCATGTAAATGGATATGGTATTTTGTGAGGGCCAAATTCAGTCCTAGCATGAGTAGGTGCAATGAAGTCAATGGTTTTCAACCAAATTCAGGCTGAAACTTATTTAAGGAGTTATTCTGAACCCCTAGGGGACTGGCCATCCAGGGAAAACAGGAGGCATTTTCACTGGGGAAAGACAACTTCACCTCCATTGGCAGCTTTGTAAGCGTTCTGCCAGCAGAGGTGGTTGAGGGGACTTTCTGAATTGGTGTAGGCCCTGGCTGTGATCTTTCCCAGGACAGTACTGTTGACTTTTTCTGGGCTTCTGTGTCTGTCAGTGGAGCACCCATGGATGGAGGCAGGAAATGCAGGCACCCTGCACCCCTGTAACCTTCCTTCCACAGGCCTTGTAGATGTTGAGTTGGCCATTCTGCAGGGTTTTGTTCTGGGGGAAGTTGACCCTCACCTTGGACTTGAAGTTGACCCACTTATTTGTATAGCACCCAGCACAATTCTGCATGGGATATCTAGGGCCTAATACAATGTAAATAATGCTAATACCACCTGGGGCTACCTTTCAATTATTTCCCTCCCCCCTGCATCCAAACACATTTGTTCTGTTTTCAATGGTTATTTCTAGTGAAACAAGCTTTCTAGCCAGGGCCTTTTGTCTCCTATTTAAGAAGATAATACTGCTGCAGCATAAGAATGTAGCTGTGCATAGCAGAAGTGACTAGCTATTTTCATTTCTAAATGCATGGTGAGGCCTGCTTGACCTTTTCTTATTATCAAGCAGCTGGCAAGAGGCTGAATAATTTCTTCATTATTATTACACAGGATAACTGACCTCCTGGTACTAAAGTCAGGAAAACATTGTGTGACATTTCTGGGCATCATTTTGCCAGTTTGGGTTTCAGGTTTTGGTTTCTATTACCCATCCATTCCCTTTTACCTTGTTACTTGTCAGTTGATATTATGCATAACGTGCTTGTCTTCCCATAAAGAGGTAGTGGGCTGGCTCCTACTTGCCCAGAGACTAGTATAAATCAGGTGCAGCTCAAATGAAGTCAATGACCTTAAATCTAATCTCCACTGGTTTTATTCTCAATATACTGTAATGGAGTTACAACCAGGATACAGAACCATACAATGAAAGAAGTACCAAGCCCACTGGCAGAGCTAAATGAATGAGTGTTTTTAGGAATGCTATCCATAACAAAGACATTCTAATCCTAATATTGAAACCAATTCCCTCTGTGCCTTTAGTCAGCCCTTAAACTCTTCCTCCTGTGAAATGGGCATAACAGCCATTACTAACTTACTGAAAAACCTGGCTTGAGGATTTATCAGCTGATGTATGCAGAGCAAGTGCACGCAGAAAGCACTGCAGATAAGTACAAAGATAATGAAACTTGTGTATTCATAATTTATTATTGCAGTTTGTTTTACATGCTGACATGGGAGCTGGTAAAACAATTCTAATTTATTTTGATTGTGAATCTAGTCTGATTGGCTGGAAGGCTGTCTCCCCAGCTGGGGAGGGCTAAACAGAAGATGATTCCTCTGTGATTCATTGACTGCCAAGGGAGGTGTCCAAAGCATGCTGTTAAGGGTTGCCTATAAATCTGTAATTTTGGAGGATGGTTCATGAAGTAATTTCGGTCTGCTTAGTTCATTTGGAGACCTGCTGCAGGCTTGCTAGTGAAACACATGAAACTGTGATTGGTTCATGCAGTGTTGCAAACCTCCATGTTCTGGGTCCTGCAGATAATGGGGACCCCAGGGACTAAATGAAGTGTTTAACATTGTTTACTGCATGGGTTCAAGTGGCATGTGGTGCTGAGTACCAGCTGATTCATGCTGACAGAGAGGTTTGTCTTCCACCCTGGGTGAGACATGTTACATGTTACACTTAGACCATACTAAATCACTGGAATGTTAATAAGTGTTAAAGTAAGAACATGCTGTGAGCAGTGTCACATTAAGGGTTAATACTGTTTCTTGCCTGCGCAGCACTTACCACTAGAGGGCTGGTGAGCAGGGGTGTAACTAGGAGCTAGGATACCTGGGCTCTATCCCTACTCTAGGCAGAGGTGGGAGGCTGGAAGCAGTGTATCCTGGGATGCTGGATGACTGCAAATGATTTGTTTTATCTTCATGGAGCAGACTGAAGTTACCCTAACATAAGCTAGGTAACATAGTTCAGAGTTAATACCGCAGCTTAGTGCCTCCCCCCCACCACCACCCCCCGCAACATGCCACCAGCCCATGTGGCAAAAAACCTGCCCCATCCTGAGCAGTGCTGAGTCGGAGGCCAATCTCAGGAGGGGGAACATAATAGCCACAACCCAGATATTATTGGTCCCCTATTGTAGAATAGAGGAAAACAACCATCACTCATGTAGACCCTTAGGAATAGCCCCTTTACATCAAGCTTTGTTCCTGTGGGCAGAACTTGACTACTTTGACATTGTTTCAGTGTGTTTAGTTTAACCTTTTGTTGAGATTGGATGATGGAAAGAACTCTGGAAGCAATGCTCATGCCAGTGACAAGGGAGGGAACATGGCCAGAGGTGACTGACATGGCTCCTGCTATCCACCTGTCTTGCCAGAAGCTGGGGCTGCAGGGCTGAGCCCAGTCAGCCTACTAGTGCTGCTGAGGGTGGAAGCAGAGGGGCCAGCCCAGACTGGGCTGCTGGGTCTGGGTCTTTCTGAGCAGGCTGCAGCTGGGACTGGGGCCTGCAAAGACTGAACTGATTTGCAAGTGCACAGACATTCACGTTTAATTCTGGAAATGCGGGCACGTGCCTGTAGTGGCTCAGGCCCAAGCCAGGCGGGGCTGTCATGGAGGTCTGGCTGCAGCCCCTGGACACCTTCTACCTGGATGCCTTCCACCTTCCAAGGTATCCAGGGGCTGGAGCTCCACAGCCTGGGCAGAAGTTGCACGGCTGAAGCTTCCCACTTCCCCCTCCCCCCTCAGCCCCCACCCAGAGTGGTGTGGTGCAGCCATAGCAGCAGCTGCTGGAGGGGAGTGGGGCAGAACAGCGCCCCCCCCAGCCTTAGCCAGCCCACTGCTGGTTGTGCAGCTGCCATCCTAGGTACTGCACAGGGCAGGGGCACAGCAGCGGCAGCTGCCAGGCTCAGGACCCACCAGTACCTCTGACCTGGCCCAGGAACCCTGCTTCACAGCCAGCCCCCACCCATGCTGCTGGGCGGGGCCTGGCCCCCCAGGTCAGCTTCCCTCTAGCCTTGCAGCTGCTGCAAAGGGAAGAGAGGGCTGCTCTGGCACCCCCCAGCTTCTAGCCTGAGCCACTGCAGGCATGTGCCTGCATTTCCAGAATTAAACAGTAATGTCTGTGCACTTGCAAATCAGTTCAGGCTTTGCAGGTTAGGCTAGTCTTTGCAGGTTAGTCTAGACTAGTCTTTGCAGGTTAGTCTTAGACTAACCTGCAAAGACTGAATCAATTCAGGCTCCAGCTTTTTGAATGTCTGTCCCTAAACCTACTGCGCATTAGCCTAATAACAGCACAGTAGGCTATTAGCACAGTTTTTGCCATGACATGCTACTGCACAGTGTTATTAGTCAATATTCAATAAGTGCCTCATGTAGACATGCCCAGTGCTTACTTGGGCATCATT